AAATTCCTTCTGTAGTCATCAAACGTAGAGAAGCATATCCAGCAGAGACAACAGCTACACCATCATGGAGACAAGAAATTGCTGCCAGCCACTCCGAGGCACTGGGGGCCAGGCCCAAGCCTCACTCTCCTCACACACATTGATGAGCACATGGTCCTCGCCAACAGCCCCAGCTCCTCCTGAAAACGACTCCTTTACAGTCTCTACATCGCTGCTGGAATTCTGAAAGTTCGTCTCAGCTGATATTTCCAGGTGAGTAGATTCCCTGGAGTTCTGCAGGTGATTATTTGCTGTTTTGATCATGTGAAATTTCTGATTTGGAGCAAATCTTGCTATTCTAGTAATATTTCAACCCAGTGTTGAAAGAAAAAGAGGTCCTACCATGTAGAAAAAGAAAAAGAGGAACAGGAGGCCATCTGAAGACGAGCCGTGAGGGACAGGAGAGCAGAAGGTCTTTAAAACCAGCTCCTGACTAGCATGATGGCCCCCACCCGTAATCTTAGCACTGGGGAGGCTGAGGCAGAGGATTGCTCCAAGTTCAAGGTCACCCTATTTCAAGGAACGAAAACCAAAGACAGCTCCTGTAAGCAAGCTGGCTACTGTCATGTCATCACCGAGGGGAAAGGCAAAGAAGGCAGAACTAGTACATGGAACTGTGTCAGACCTGTCCCAAGAAAGGCTACAAAATCTGCTTCACTGGGCATTTGAACGAGCACCAGGACATTTTGCCAGGAGAGATTAACATAGCCAGGCAGAACCTGTACTGCCAGCCCAGGCTTTCTGTGGTTCTGGGGCACTGCCTTTACTGTATACCAGAACCAGGTGGAGTCTTGGTAAAGGGTAGGGGCCAGTTCAGTAGCCTGGGCTGGGGTCTGAGACTCTGCCTTTCCCACAGGCTCCAGGCCAGATGCTGCAGATGGAGTCCTTCCCCATGGGCAGCAAGGGGAGCTGGGTCATTCAGGAATTTTTACCCCCTCTTTCAACCACCTAGCCAGAAATGAAGTAACAGCAAAGATTTAGAACATGCAGGAAGTTGCTGAGTCCCAAGGAAAAACTTGCTAAGAGAATAATTGCCCAGAAACCATTTTCTGTTTTATATATAGCATCAATTTGATACTTGCTATAGAAACTACCATCATTTCTATGAAATCCACTCGAAAAGCTTTGAAGCCTAGAGCATCCCTGAGAAAGGAAAGCCACCTGGGTTCTGGCTCTGGAGTTCAAACCCCTGTGCAGAGGCTGTGCAAAGAAGAAGAAATGGCAAAATGGCCCTCGAAGGGCTCAGGTGTCCCAAGCTTACACACTCACCTGCCAGGTGCCCAGGCCCACGATGGGCATCTTGGCTTTGGTACTGAGCTCCACGAAGGTGGCCATGGTTGCTGCACAAATGGTTCCAAGTGAGCAGATACACACCTGTGCCCTGGTTAAGGAGGCAAGCAGTGGTTTTATGCCCTGGATCAGAAGGCCAGCTCTTACAGTATGGGCAGGCAGCCACAAGCCAGGTCTGGAACAGCAACAGAAATTTTATTTTGGTCTTTTGTCAGATTGAGTAATGTGGGTGAAGATTAAACACTACCAAGTATCAAATCTCCCTGATACAGAATGCATGAATTAGTTTTCGAGTGCCACTTACAAGTTTGCAAGCCAAAATAGCATAGGCTGTAAGATCTTCCAGGAAGAACTGGTTAGATTATTCGAGAAAGGACATTGCCACCAGAGGAGGCATGCTGTAGCAAACTGTGTGGGCACTAAGAAGGCTCCAGGAAGCTCCCAGAGACAAAACGAGGAAGCCTACACAACTTATTTTGCAACAAACTATATTGGGACACATAGATCAATGAAAAGAGGCTGTCTGTCTGAGATCAAACAGACAGGTGGACAGGTGTCCTTGCAGAGAGACTTTTTATGTGAGGTTATGGTAACCTTCACATTGGCCTGTGATTCTAGCAGTGCCCGTAACTTAATTTGTACTTGTCTAATTGCTCTAACATTGTGGTAAAAATGCTCAGAGTGAGAAATTACCTGCTAACAATTTGGCCAGGACTGTTTCATACTAAAATTATTTTAATACCTACTTTAAAAATCTTTGGTTATTATGAGAGGTTATGTATTCAATACAGAAAGGATGAAAAATAAAATGACTGTAAGGATGAGACTATAAGTCACTTTTATTACCATCACTCAAGATGCCCTTGTCCAATGCTGTCTTCCTCTAATCTTTGCATGTGTGTGTATGTGTGTGTGTGTGCTCTCGTCTATCTGCCTATGTTGTACGTGTGCAACAGACGTTCTACGTGTTTATAAAGGGCCATTTTAAACTTCTATCACCCCGAACATTTAATGATAATAAAAGGTTCAATTTTACAATTATTAATGCTATTGTTCTGAAAATTCTTAGATGCTTGCTTTCTAATATGAATAAACAATACTTCAAGGTATATGAAGCCACCTAGTTTCTGCAGATTCTCCCAGGCTCTGATTCCCATCTCACCATAGGAGTACCGAAATTACAGATGTCTCGGCTTTTATGGTCTGGAGATTTGAACTTAGGTGGTCACATTTGTACAGCAAGATTTATCCACAGGGCCAATCTCTCTAGCTCCCAATAATAATATACAAATATATGATTTTTTTGAAACTGATGAAAGATCAGCTACTAAGCAAAATGGTGATGATTATTCTGATAGAAGTAAAGATGATGATGATGATGATGATGGTGGTGATGATGATGGGTTTTGCCTCCATTCAGGATCTAAAGATAGGAAACTTTGTTCTTATTGTTAATTTTGAGAGCTTGATACAAGGATGGACATAATTTAAATATTTTAATAAAATTTTGTAACTCATAAAAACACTCTTATATTATCTTTGGGATTGACAGAAAATATTTCATGGATTTAAGCAAGGTGACCCCATTCTTATCCATGATGGAAAAAGAGCACATGCAGACTGTGCAAGGAATGGTTTCCCGTTTCACAAAGCATGGACAAGCACGGTGAGTGCTTTCCAGCCTGTCCCATCTTTGCCCAAGCAGAGCAGAGCCTCTTCCTGGGCATCCCACATCTCGAAGAGCATCAGCCTTCTTTGTTTCATTTGGTCCTAGCCTTCAGCCCCCTGTCTGCCATTCCCTGCCCCCATCTGCCCCCTGTCTAGCCATTCCCTGTGTAAAGGATACCTTTAGCTCCTCTACTCCCAGCCTCCCATCCAAATTAGAAAACACCATGTTATGTGTTCCTATCTGCTGCAGGAGGAAGTTTCTCTGATGATGGTGGAGCAAGGAACCATCTACGAGTATAGCAGACTATCATTAGGAGTCATTTTATTGCTCTGTTCCTTGCAGGACAGTAGTATTTGGTTTTTCTCTATCTAAGCTCGGGTTCTTGGCCACCAAGCAGTGGTGGGTATAAGTTCCATCCCATGAAGTGGGCCTTAAATCAAATCAGATTTGGTTGGCTACTGCAAGAAACTTTCTGTGACTATTGCACCAGCATGTCTGGCTGGCAGGCCACCATTGTTGATCAAAGTGTTGGTAGCTGGTCGGTGTTTACCCTTCTCCTTTGGTAGTGTGCACAGTGCTTTCAAGTACCATGAACCTTAGTCCATAGGGTGAAGGCTCTAGGTAGGCACACCAGCTCAACTTCTCTGTGTTCAATGAGTTGTGTAGGTGCTATCTTCAGGAATGGGGCCCTACAACAATGTGCAGAGAGTGAGATAACTTGGAACACTCAGCCCTAAATGGGATGCCTCCATTAAATCCCTACCCTTAGGGCTCAGGAAACCATGCAGAAGAGGAGGCAGGAAGAGTGTAAGAGCCAAGGGGATGGAGGACACCAAGGGAATAAAGCCTTCTAACCACAGCAGACCAATGCACCTATGAACTCACAGAGACTACGGCAGCACACACAGGGCCTGGACAGGTCTGTATCAGATGGGGCCCTAGAGCTGAAAGAAGAAGTGGAGATGGATACCCGTTCATAACCCAGAAGCTAGTGCCTATTGATAATGATTTGCAAATGAAAAATCATTTTTCTCCAAGGGCATCTCACTGGGGAAACAAACCACTGTAAAAGGCAGGCCACATGCCCGGCACTAGATGACCAACACAAACTCAAGAGCATCTTTGGAGGTAGTTCTTTGTCTCACCAGGTTGTGTCAGGGCACTTTTTATACCTTACAGGTCCTTTGCATATATATAAAATGGCTTCCAGTTTTGTGTTCTTATGGGATTCTTGTGTGTGCAAACATGTGTGTCTGTATCTGCATGTGTTTCTTGTGCTTTTTCTCTGGCTCACTTCCTTCTGTTTGTTTTTTCCTATTCTGAACTTTTTTGTTTTTGTTTTATCTTATTCTGTTTATTATTATTCCTTAGATGCCTGTTTGTTTTCTAATAAGCGATGGAAAGTGTGAATCCAGATGGAAGGGAAGATGGGGAGGGAGCTCAGAGGAGTCAGGAGAGGGGAAACTGTAATCAGAATATATTGTATGAAAAAAACCATTTTCAATAAAAGAAAAAGTCAACTTGGCTTTTCAAATACTGAACCATCTCTACTTTTCTACTTAGAAATTACTTTTAGTATACTCCTGGAATTAACTTCAAATGTTTTTCAAAACTTTTAACATTTCTATTAATAAGTAATATTAGACTTTCAGTTTTTTGTTCAACTCAGCATTATTTTAACCTTATCAAATGATCTGGATAGCTGTTCAGCTTTCATCATATTAGTAAAATATTAATAGGAATTGTGTGCTCTTAAGAGTTACAGAAACAAATTTTGTTTGTAATTTTCCTAAAGTTAATTATTAATTTTTGCTTTGGTTAGTTTCAGGATTTTGGCCTATCTTGTATTATACATTTCTAAATTTTATTTTATTGGAGATTTTTTTTGGTTGTCATCTTCCCTTTTTTTGTTTGTTTGTTTTTCAAGACAGGGTTTCTCTGAGTAGCCTTGGCTGTCCTGGAACCTGCTCTGTATACCAGGCTGGTCTTGAACTTATCCTGATCCACCTGCCTTTACCTCCCAAGTACTGGGATTAAATGCATGTGCCACCACTACCTGGCTATTATTGGAGTTATTGATATGCTCTTTTTTAAAAAAATATACAGTCAATTTTGGGATGGTCTAAATATAGTTAAATAGAGACCTTTCCTAGGTCTGGCACTTATAAAGATTTCATTTATACATGTCTATCAGATTTCTGCAACTGTATTGGTAGAAGAGGAGTATTCTAAAGGACATTTGTGTCCTTCCCTTCAGCTGTCAAACTATTGAAACAACTGGCCACGAAGAAATGAAATTTCCCTAGAAATCCAATGCTGAGGGGAGAAAGAGCTGGAACCCTGGTGCCTGCTAGAGGAAACTGCCTCCCAGGAAGAGTTCTAACAATTTACTGGACCACCTCACAGGACAAACTGAGGCTTGGACAATGACTAGTCTGTGATGGGCAGAACAACACCTTGACCAGGAGTGTTTAGCACCTCTTGCCTTCTGTTTAAACTTAAACTTTTTTTGTTTTGTTTTGTTTTGCTTTTTGAGACTAGATTTCTCTGTGTAGCTTTGGAGCCCATCCTGGAACTCGCTCTGTAGACCAGGCTGGCCTCGAACTCACAGACTTCTGCCAGCCTCTGCCTCCCAAGTGCTGGGATTAAAGGGGTGTGCCACCACTGCCTGGCTAAACTTAAGCTTCTTATCAGTACCCCCGAAGACAGGCTGGGGCAAGGGGCAGTCACAGGACCCCTTTACTCCTCTTTCCAGGGTGGTCATTGTGGATAAATCTCCTTTCTCTGTTTTTCATGAAAAACAAACATAAACAAACAAGGACCCTGGCTTGCCCTGAGCCCCCATCCCTCCTCACAAAATTCTAGTTTGCTCTTTCACTCTTCTGCAGTAGTCAACTTGCCCAGACTTCTCCAGCTGTTGGGTGCTGTGGTCCCTCTCAATAAAATTCTAGCCATGGAGCAACTTGGACTAAGGTTGGCTGGTGATGTGATTCACGAATACACAGCCTGGGCCACCTTAGGACTCTTATGTGCTCTGAATGCTTTTGTCTCATGGGCTTTGCTACATACAGTGCTGCTCTAGAATGTCTCCTGTGGTGGTTTGAATAAGAACAGTGCCCACAGACTCATAGATTTGATAGCTCATGCATTAGGGACAAGTGTGTCACTAGGGGTGGACTTTGAGGTTTCAGATGCTCAAGCCAGGCTCTCTCTTCCTGCAGCATGCTGATCTAGATATAGAACTCTGCTACTTCTCCAGCACCATGTCTGCCTGCATGCCACCACGCTTCCCACCATGATGATAATGAACTAAATCTCTGTGGTAGTTTGAATGTAATTGGTTCATAGGGAGTAATACTATTAGGAGGTGTGGCCTTGTTGAAGTATTTGTGGCCTTGTTGGAGGAAGTGTGTCACTGTGCTGGTGGGCTTTGAGGTCTCCCATGCACAAGCTATACTTAGTTCAGATCATTTCCTGTTGCCTGCAGATAAATATGATTAACTCTCAGCTCCTTTTCCAGGACCATATCTGCCTGCATACCACTATCTCCTGCCATGATGATAATGCACTAAACCTCTGAAACTGTAAGACAGCCCCAATTAAATGTTTTCCTTTGTGTAAATTGCTGTGGTCATGGTATCCATTGATAGCAATAGAAACCCTAACTAAGACAGAAGTTGGTACCAGGGACGGGGGTATGCTGTGATAGGCCTGACAATGCTTCTGTTTAAAGGAATATGGGACCTTGGTGTTGTGGATTAGAAAAGTAGTTAAATGCTTTAAATGC